TCTTTTCCCCACAAAGGAGAATAAACTCACCTACATCCTTAGTGACACAGGACAAATGGAATAGGAAAACTGAGACAGATAGTTAAACAAGTAAATTGCAGCCATCTATTAAGTCCCATCTTCCCTAAATGAAGATCACTTAAAAGTAAATGGTTTACACTTCTCCCCAACCAGAGGGTAAATGGCTTAAATCACCCTATTCAGAAACAGATAGCAGAAATCCAATTAGTGCCATTTGCCAACCCTACCCAAGAACAGATGAAGTTAAGGAAATCAATCTCTTTTTGATACATCAACATAAAGCTGATGAACATTCTACTGAGATCCTCCTATAAGACCTCCCCTAAACCCCCATCCTTTAAGCCCCTCAGACTGAAGGCCCCAGCACTCACTCTCCCTCCCAGAACCACACCCCACAGTTCCCTCTCCCTTTCACTTCCCCCACAGACATGAATCTCCTAAACTCTAAGGGACCCCATGAGGTTTGCAACCTGGGAGCAATGGGGAGCAGCAGCTCCTCCAGGGCTAACCCCCTGACTCTGTCCCCAAGGCCCCCTTTTCTCTGACGTCCCAGTGAGCTAAAGCAGTCCTGCCAAGGCTCACTTCTTTCCTACAACATTTCCAGAGAGCCAAGGCAAGCCCGCTTAGGCTCTCCTGTTGTTTCCGATACCCTAAGCCCTGTTTTGTTTCACTGTCCCCAGCTTTAATAAACATACTTTCTAAAATCACTTGACCTTGTGTTGTAAAACCTTTCCTGTATGAAGTCGAGAACCCACATACTACTGGCCGGCCCTTTCTGGTAACACTTAGAACTTTAAACAATCAACCTCACTGCCCCAAAAGCAACAAATGGCCTGGTGCGTGGGGATCTCAAGGGGAGGAACTATGAACAGAGGCCATCAAAAAAGGAATACCACAAAGCAGAAGAAGGGGTAAATCAGCAATCATTCCAGTTTTCCCAGGGGTGGGTGGGATATACCAAAGGAAATGGTGGCCAAAAGGTGAACTGGGACCATGTTCTTGTCCTTCAAGGCCAGGGGAGGAGCACGGAACTGATCAAGATCTCCACCACAGAGTGCAGCAGGTGGCTGAATCCCAACTATGTCCAAACACCTCTTTTCTATCAGGGTATTTATTTCACTTACCGTAATTTTCAGACTATAAGGTGCACCCCGCCATTTGGGAGGTTATTAATGCTGCTGTTGAGTTCTGTTTACATTTACATTGGTGAATTATTATGTTATTATTTATGTTATTAAATATTTTACCACATTTTTTACTTCAAAAAATTTTTTCCTATTTTCCTCCTCTAAAACCTAGGTGCATCTTATGGTTCAAAAATACAGTAATCCTTATTTCTGTAACAATGCCCATTCACCACGTGACTGGGAAGAGTTTAATCCCCTTCAGGAGAGGCTGGTCACATACATACTTGCAAATCATGGTACTAAAAACTGTTCTTCACAGTTGGGTTCTGTAAAAAGCCCTCTAAAGAGCCGCTGCATTTAAATAGCCAGCATAAATTTCCTCAACCCTTGGCCATGCCTGGATTATCCGAGGAGCAAGAACTCCATTCTTGTGGGTTCACTACGTTATCAGCCTCCTCTACAAGAGTGATATATTCTGGCAGACAGCTTTTCTCTCTCCATTCATATTTATTGAGTACCCCTCTAGTGCGAGTGGAAGGCACTTTGACAAGATATGCCAAAAGCCTTAAATATGCTCATTCCAAGAACCAATCTAAGTAACCCAAAGTGTGGGTAAAATGTACGCACAAAAAGGTTCAATGAATTGAACATATAAGCAATCTAATTTCCAAAAATAATGAAACAGGTAAGTCATGGTATAGCAATATGATTAAGCAACAGGTAGAAATTTTTATGAGTTTTAAAATGACATGGAAATGAGACTGTATTCTAATATTAAGTCAGAAAGGGGATACAAAATTGTATATCCAGTGTACTTTCAAATAAATTTTGAAAGTATTTTTATAAATATTACTGACACACATATCTTAATGCTCAACATATTAACATGTTTGTCCCTGGGTTGTAGGATGATGAGTTTTTCTCCAGCTATACTTTCTAATTGTAATTCTCTGTGCTTTCCAAATATTCAACTATAAACTTGTACTCTGCTCTTTTGATAAAAGTAAGAACTGGGAAGAGGGCTGGGGTTGGGTGGAGGTGGGCCAACGTGGGGAAAATGGGAACATCTTTACAAGTACTGACAATGAAAATAAAGTTTAAAAAACTGGAAAGAAATTTAATAGATACAGTTATCTCTAGGTAATCTTTATTTTACTTTTCTGAATTTTCTAAATTTGTTTCTGATTATACATAAGATGTTATTTTTTTTAAAGCATTATATCATAGACACAGAAAAGCTATAGTATCTGTCTCAGTTCTAATTTCAAGCTTTTAAACAGTCTCACAAGAAGAGAATTAAGTAGCAATGAAGTAGATAAATGGACAATAAGCCTGCTGATTCATTGTTTCAACTGGCAGTAGGTTCCTTTCTCCTTTCTCATCAATTCTATGCATGTCACCTCTAATCATCCCTTCCTTCATTACTTATACCCAAATATCACTGCTGTTTCCCTCAGAGGAGCTATATAGCAATGAAATCACTTGGTACAAGCAAAGAACCAAGAGAAACAGTACACTTTTAATTACATAGCCAATTACTGAAAACAACAAAACAAAACCATGTAGCTGATTAGTAAGGAAAACTGAGAGAGAAAGACAGTTCAGACTGAAGTTGTGAGCCTAAATGATAATGCCAAAATAACTGCCTGGGGTATCATCAAAGATTCCTGTAAGATTTTCTGAGGCAAAACAGACCAGAGAGAAGCCCAGTTATGCTAATGAGCAACACCCATGTGAAGGCTGAATGCCTTTCCGTTTGGTGACACTGGCGGTTTTAGACCTGTTCTGCCTGTCTCCTAAGAATGCCCGGTGGTTTCTGAGAAGCCTTTCCAACTCCACACTGCTTGCATCACAGATCCTCACCTCGGGCCTTCCATCGGCCTGCTGCTACAGTCCTGACCCGGCTGCCACCAGCCTCGAGAACATCGCATAAGCCTTTACCAGAGACACAGATGAGAATGGTGGCAGAAGCGCATTCATGAGTGCTGGAAGAAGAGCCTATGGTCTTTCTTTTCTAAAACACAAATAAGCAGTACATTCAAAACCAGTGACACACACTTGCCACCATTCTATTTGTATCAGGAATGAACTACGGTAACTTACATTTCATGAGACCAGAACATGTTACTAAAGTTTCACCCCAAATATCAAGATTTTTGCCCAAGTATTTTTTAAGCCTTAATATTAAAAAGTGATTCATAATTATATCTCTAAAACTCAATTTCATTTATATTTAAGTATATTTATGAATGAAAGAATCTTAAAGGCTATACACCAAAATATTAACACTGGTGAAAAAAATAAGTGATTTTTATTTATTTTCTTTTTGGTATTTTCTTATCTATTTTGCAATGAGCTTGTGGTTTTTTTTACACTCTAATTGTCTCTCTTGGGAAGAGAGTACTCAATCTGACGAAAATAAATTCTTCTACTTTTTGGTAAGAGTATACAAATATTGTTTCTGGAATTCTTCACCTTGAATTTTACTGCCACCTTCTCTCAAATGATCTCCCTCTAGGTAAATTATATTAACAGCAATCAAGTTCAACCTGTTCAACCCTAACTGCAGTTATGTCAAATTAAACAGAACTAAGCCTAAACTTGACTGCCACCATTTATAAAAAATAATATGACTTCTTGTTTCTGAGTGAAGGAATATAGCAAATGATCCCCTACCAGTACTAAGGTGATTATTTTGTATATGTACAGTACCAAGAGCCACACCAAGAGGTGTTTGGCACTGGGATTCAGAAATCTGTAACCACACTATGAGTCTGACCCTTATTAAGTGGGTCTCATCTGTCCTCCCAAGGAACCTGATCTTCAAGTACAATTCAACTCCTTATAACATCTCAGCTCTGTATGTTTCCAGGTGGGAAAGAACAGGCAATGGACTCAGGAAGAATGGGGTTATTCAACCCCAACTCCACCCAATGGTAAATTAAGAAACCTCATTCTCACCTTCCTCATCTGTAAAACAGAGATAATAAAAACCACCTTGTGATGTGTTCTATGGACTGGAGAGAACATATATTTAGTATCTATAATAGTTACCCAATAAATTATGATGTAACTGGTTTGTCTATGGTATTCACATTAGTTCTTCATTTTGATGCTAATGCTACATATTCCACTATAGTTAACAAAAAATGCATATCTGAAAATAACTGTCTGCCTGGGGGAATACAGGGTGGTGGAATCCTGAAAGCAAGGAAACTGGTTTCCCCACACCTTCCTTTCCTGCCCAGTAACCTGTGAGTCCACTTCATGCTGCTTCTGCCGGCCGCTGCTGTGACTTCACCCCAAAAACAGCCGAGTCGGGCTGCAGGAGCTTATAAGGTTCCCATTTCCATGTACTCATTCCTTCCTTCTGTTTCTTTCAAGGCCAGTCAACAAAGTAGACAGATGAAGAGATGCTGTTTCATTTTACTAATTTTTAAATTGGCAATAGAGCCAGGGGCAAAAAAAAAAAGAAAAGAAAAGCAGACCAAACAAGAGAACAGTATCGTTTAAGAAAATACTAATGAGTCAGCTTGAGTTTTGTATTCTAAACATAAAGCCAAGAGAAATCTGCATTTTGTATTAAAAACACTTGTCTCTTGAGGAAAAGAGATCTTAATCACAAAAAGACAGCTCAACCCAGTAACCCACAACCATAAAACAGATGCCTGGCAGACATATTTTTAATTTAATAACAAATTATTTGAAAGATTTTGATTTAATAACCAAAAGAACACGAAGGAGCAGCGGCTGCTGTGGAGACAGCGCCACCTCCACGAGGCCACTAGCCCGGGGAGGGAGGCGCCGCAGAGAACCCGCACACACCCTCCGCGGTGCCGGTGCGGACCTTACCTGACAGTCAAAGTCCTGGAAGTTTCGCGTACCATTCTGTCAACAGAAGGCAGAAAACACAGTCAGTTTCCCCACGTGGCTTCCCCAAATGTGTAGCAAATTCAACTCACTGTGACGGCAGTGCATGTGCAGCCTCCTGGCTGCCATAAAACTAAAATGGTTCTTCTCACCAAAAAGCTTCGGAGGCAGGGTTTACTAACATGTGTTAGTAAAAGGTGAGTTTTTAGAGGAAAGGTTCCACTTTGGTGGGCTTGCTATGAAAGCAGCCTGCTTTCCCAGGAAAGCGTGTCACTCCTTGCCTCCCTATCTAAGGAGAGCAGTGACAACCAGCAGGAAGAGGGTAAGACTGGGGTCAGAGTCTGACAGCAAATTTACAACCTACAGAGAAGGACCTGGGAGGAAGGAGTGGGAGAGACAACCCTGAAAGGAGCAAGGGAGGGCGGGAGCCAGAGTGTCCAGAACCAGGAATTAAAGAAAGGGTTAAGCGGAAAACAAAGATATGGATGAATCGGAAATGGAGGACCTGAAATTTAACAAGGAAGAAAGGCAGTGTCACGGAAGGAAGGAAGGAAGAACAAAGGGTTCCTAATACACTGGCCTATCTGTGCGACACCCCACAAAACTGCTGCAGCAGAACACAGTCAAAACACGCAAGGAGAATTCACCACGCTTCTAAAAAGAGATTATATCATAGTAATGTTTGATTAAAAAAAATCAGTGGAATGACTCAGACATTTTTGAAGCATTTTAGATGCTAGAGTGACAGAGTATGTCATGACAGTATAAAAAGGGTAATGAGTATTGTGTTTGGGAAGGAAAAAAACCTTCTCATTTGATTTTCATAAAGCCCCTCCCCTGAAAAAAACCTTTGTTTGTTTAGAAACTATGTCATCATAAAATATCTCCTCTGCTTACAACAGTTTCCAGAAGGTGTAGAGCTGCTAACAAGCACTTTCCCAAACACTGCCCCTCCAGGGATTCAGCTATCTGATCACAAGCAGTCCCACCGCCTTCAAGGAGGTCCTCTGAGAAAGAGTTCTGTATCCCACGACCTACGCCGCTGGCAGGACAAAACAGAAATGTGGCATAAAAATGCCCAAAGAAATAAGCTGTCCACCACCTGAGAGGAGCTAGTTGGTAGACCAGCTGGGATGGTTTACAGTGACACTATCCAGTATGACACTATCCAGTCATTAGTCACACGTGGAAATAACAACTAAAAAGTTAATTAAATTCAGTTTCTCAGTCACATCAGCCACATTTCAAGTGCTCGGCATGCACAGAGGGCTGGTGGTGACTGTACTATTGGGCAGGGCAGATCCACGTCCATTACTGCAAAGACTCCTACCGACCGCTGATCTAGAGACTGAGTTTTTGAAGGAATAATGTTGTGGATGAGCAGGCCTTATTTCTCTATCGGTGACAGTAAAATCACAATAGACTGCCAGTCACAGAGAGACTGCTGGTGACCATGAAAACAGTAGAGGGGGGTAGGGGCAGCCGGTCTGGGGTATTATTCCTGGCATGAAAACTAGCTCACGAAGTAAAGTCTGATGCAGTCGGAGCGTGGAAAGACGACCAAGATACCACGTAAATGGGACTGTGCAGCACGTTTCCAAGGAATGCAGCCATCATCGGTAAGAAGGACTCTAGTGTTCCACGGCTCTCACTAGCCCCATAATTGCCTGAAAACTCCTTCAGAGAAATCACTGTGTTTAATTTCTTTTCTTTTAAATTTTCATTTATTGATTTTTAAAGAGAGAGGGGAGGGGGGAAAGAGAGATCTATTTGTGTTTCACTTATTTACGCTTTATTGGTTGCTTCTTGCATACGCAACTGGAGATGGACCTCTCATAGCCCTCTCACAGACTAGGGTAGATGGTGTGAGTAGGATATGAATAACCAGATGGTGAGCTCCTGGTTCCTGATTTAACTTTCACCTTTCCCCAAACAAATCACAGGGCCTGGTATGTATTAGGTGTTTGAGATACACACACACATACACACGTATACATACATATATACATACATACATATGTATATATATATAAAACAAATAAGCCAATATAAAAAATTAAATGTTGAAAGACTTTTGTTAAGACTTTAGGTAAAAAATAACCAAAAACTCTATTGCACTGCAATTTAAGATATGATATGGTCATTATATGAAAATAAATAATACACAACAGTCTTTACAGTTTTACTATAACTGTATTAAAATATGTACTAAAAGACTAGAAGAAAAATACCAAAACCTTTAACAACAGCAGCTATTTCTGAATAGAGAGATTATAGGTGACTATAATTTCCTTATACTTTTCTACAGTGAGACTGTACTTGCCATTTTGTAATTAGAAAACTGGAAAAAGAGGATTTTGCATGGTACAAAAATACAGTATCTGTAACTTAGTACTTTACAATATAATATTTAAAGATTAATTTAATTTGGGGGGGAAATAATTTTAAATGATGTCAAACAGACCATAGTAGGACCCTGGCCAGGTGACTCAGTTGGTCAGAACATTGTCCCATAGTCCCATACACCAAAAGGTTGCAGGTTTGATCCCCGGTCAGGGCACATACCCAGGTTGTAGGTTAAATCCCTGGTTGGGGTGCATGTGGGAGGCAACCAATTGATGTTTCTCCATCTAAATTCAATAACTATACCCTCAGGCTAGGCTTTAAAAAAAAAGAGAGAGACTTCCTGGATGGTGTGGCTGAGTGGATTGAGTGCTGGCCTGTGAACCAAAGGGTCGCCAGTGCAATTCCCAGTCAGGGCACATGCTTGGGTTGCAGGCCAGGTCCCCAGTAGTGGGTGCATGAGAGGCAACCACACGGTGATGTTTCTCTTCCTCTCTTTCTCCTTCCCTTCCCCTCTCTCTAAAAATAACTAAATAAAATCTTTAAAAGAGAGAGAGACCATATGAGGGCTTTGATTTTACAGGGTTCCCAGAGGTTCCTTCAGGGATCATTTAGAAAGATTAGAGAAAATCACTCTAGTCTGAACTGAAGTCTTGGGCATGGAAAACAGAGACACAAATTCTGATGAGCTGACTGGGAAGTAGCCGTCACCGTCTGCATGAATTCCCCTTCCTCCCCTCCCAAACATGTGATCACATCATGAAGCGTTCTGTGAGGCCTTGAAGCCTTTGAGATGAGCACAAAGGGAAATGCCAAAGGTGGAGAGAGATGATTCTTGCTGGAAACCAAAGCGAGCTTTTCTTTGTTGAATGCCCAGCAGCAAAAAACAACTATGTGTTCTTAATCCAATGTACACAGCTAGAAGCCCAGAAGAAAAGGTACCAATAATTGAAGGGAGACTATCCTAACACTTGTTTTCTTGGCTCTGCCGCACCCCCCACTCTCAAAGAGATGCCAGAAGCTCATAGAGAATGGCTTCAGGCTTCATGAGTGATCATCCTGGAGAAAGGATATAACTAGGTTTGTTTGACAGTATTTAGCACCCAGAGTTTCTGAATGGAGGTCATTAGCTGGGCCCCACTCAACCTGTGGTCTCCTGAAGTTGTATTCCTTGAATTTATTAAAAACTTAATACTACTCATTGGGTTCATTATGGAAGGAGAAAGACTTCCTTGGGGGCCTTCCATGGGAACTTAAGTGTCTCTCATACTTGAAGTACACGATGCTACTCTAACAAAACATTTAGAAGTTTCAAATTCTGTGTGTTTTCTTTGTTCCTTCTGTGCATTTTGAAGATACCATTAATTCCACGTTCAGAGAGATTCTTGCACTAAGCAGATTTAAGTAGCAGGAAGGGTGTCAAGAAAAGAATTTAAATAATAGAATAATTGGGGCAAAGGCAAAAAAAATATTAAGTCAAAGAAAAAGGTAAATTATTACTGAAAGCTGCAGTCAAGGTAGAAGCCAGCTAAGACGAGTGTCTCCTGGTGGAGCCTCAGGCCAAGCATAGAAAGTAAATGAAGCAGCTCCTGAAGGTGAATTAAAAGCAAGTGATCTCTCAAATACAAGCCTGAGAAAGCAAAACACAACTAAGAATAGGTCAATGAATGAAAAGAAAAGTATGAAAAAAAGGAGGGAGGGAGTAAAATTTAAAAAAACAAGTAATTGCTAGGGAGAAAAAAAATGTAGTTTACCAACATGAGATCCAGTCAAGAGACATGTACGGTTTCACAAGACAGAAAGCAACAGATATAATGCAAAGGACAAGATATGTAAGATCGCAGAACTGACCACCAAGAGGAAGAGACTGGGGGTAAATCTACTGGGTAAATAAATGTGCTGTGAACTTGAAGTGGGGGACAGGCTTGTGCCCGATTCACCATTATAGTCTCAGTCCTGGCACTTAGTAAACAAGCTGATTTTTAAAAACTGTTAGAGAATAAAATATGGCATTTCTATTTTTAAAAAAGGCAATAATCCTTACCAACAGAAAGTAGAAAGATGAGGAATTATACAAGCAGAAGAGTGAGATGAGCCTAGAAAATACTGTTTTTCTTTAGTAGCAGAGTATTATAATCACTTAACATAAATTAATAAATCAATGTTTTACAATCATCAGTGAACTATTTTTAAACAGAAATCTGTTCAAGCTAATAATCCAGAGACAAAAATGAAAGTTGTGTGTGTGTGTGTCTGTATGGGTGTATATGTACAGATATTTTAATTATCTATATTACACATTCATAAATTACTAATTAAAGAACTGACACTTCATAAAGAAACTTATAGAGGTCAGATACTTCCATAATTATCTGCAGAGTGATGAAAAAGTATAATTTCTTAAAGATTTTTAATTTACTTATTTTTAGAGAGAGGGGAAGAGAGGAAGAGAAGGATAAAAACATGGAGGTGTGAGAGGTACAGTTGCCTCTCGCACGCCCCCCAACTGGGGACCTGGCCCACAACCCAGGCATGTGCCCTGACTGAGAATAAAACCTACAACCTTTTAGTTCTCAGGCTCTCAATCTACTGAGCCACACCAGCCAGGGCAAAAAAGTACAATTTCTATTCTAAAATAATCTTTACCCTAACAGTCTATCAGGCATTATGTATCA